AAAACAGGTTCCTTTAACATTTGAAAAAAAGGGTTATGTAGAAACAACATATTCCTCAAAGTAAGGTTTGTTATTGGAACTAAAACCCAGGTGTTTCTGCATTATTATCAACATTTCAAATACCTTCCCTTCCTCTTATAAAACAGCCTGGTTACTGTATTCCCTCTTTTCTCAATACCATTTTATAGCTCTCGACTTTCCTTGTACATACATCATATCCTCACTGTGGCTCAAAAACAATGTTTCACATCCAACAAAAAGGTATCAGAGAGGCGCTTTCTGTTTTTTGAATCGATGAGTGTAACTCAATCGACATAACGATTAAGCCAGTACAAGACCTACCTTTGGCTCCTTGGATGGCGCCTCCTCCTTGACGCCGGGGACAACTTTAAAGGTAATGGCTCCTTGCGACTGGGCCTGAAGATTGATAGAGTAGTTTAGGTACAAATGTAGGGTTGGAAACAGCAGTCATCTGTCCTGCAAATATTTCACAAAGCACCTAATCCAATGAAAGTCATATAATGCAAAGCACTGTTTGATTTTTCAACAATGGAAGGGTTATTAGGATTGGATGACTCCGCTTGGCAGGGAGAGAGAGTATGAGTGTGTGTGGGGGTAAAGGGGGAGTGTTGAGAGCTATCATCTGCTGCGGAGGCCTTTGTGTCTGAGAAGGCCTCCAGAGTTTAAGAGACTCTCTTTCCTCTCCAGTTGTCCCCCCTGGCAGAGTTCAGGCCCATAACGGAGCTCATTTGAGGCCTGCGGCGGAGCCTGCTTGGAGGAACTACTAAGCATCGATCTCATCCGGGGGGACCGTGTGGCTCAGTGCATGTGGTCTAAAGGCCAGGAAAGACTTGTAGAGAAAGGCCAGTGTTTGGTTTTCAGCACAGCGATGGGAGGCATGGGGTCCTGGATGAGTTAGGGGAGTTTTTTTGCCATCACAAACAAGGAATGTTATTTTCGCCAAGGGAGTGGAGCTGAAACACGGGAGAAACCCTTGGATAGCACACACACACACGCACAGGGCAGAATGCAGTCACACACACACAAACAGATGAGGCTTACCAGAATACGAATGATTTCCTCCGGTTTCTTGTCATCCACAGGGATTCCATTGACCTCCTTCAGTTCATCTCCTACATGTATCAGTCCTACCGCACACAAACACAAAGTGTGCATATCTCCAATCTCTCTTATACTCAATTATTCCCTAGTCCTAGTATAAGTGTGCTACTGTGTGAAAGGCCGGTGCTCGCAAAGCCTGGGGATGTGTACAGTACACCAGATTAATGTTTATCGTCATGGTGGCATTTGAGATTGGAAAAGAATCAAAACATTATTGTCAACACATGTGGAAATTTGCCTTTGGCTCCATCGTGGCAGGGCTGAAAAACAGACTGGACACAATGAATACAAAATCAAACCGAAAACAGGTGGGCAACAAGCAGAGCCTCAGCTTGTCACTCATGTTCATATTTACAAAGTGGAAAAAAAATGTATGGCACAGAACTGGTGGTTTCAGGTGCAAGGATAATTCCTAAATACATCCCTTCTTTGTTGCACACTGAATGTAATCCTGCTGGAATATAAATCTCCTTCATACTTGACTCCACACTGCATACTCACGTTTCAGTAGTGAAAAATGCATACACACACGGTCAAAGTAAGAAAGGGGGTAAAAAAAAAAAAAAGGTTGAACTGACCACTCCTGTCGGCAGCTCCACCTCTCATGATCCGGGCCACGAGGATGGCTCCTGTGCGATCGTCACGCCTTATCGTTGCTCCCTACAAAGCAATCAGAAAGAATGATTAAAAACTGGATGAACTGTATTTCCTCACTGCTTAAAGTCGTATTGCTCAAATGTCAAATGATAATAGCACAAAATGACAGTAAAAGGTATCTGGTAAGAATTCTGCATAGGATGCTTATCGTTATCATAATGGCTGATTTATGACACAAAGTTGATATATCTTTTAAACCAGGGGTTCCAAAACTTTATGTCAATGTCCCCCACAATAGATGCACAATTTGAGAGGATTCTGTTATGTTAGAAGAAAATTAAAGTCTTCAAAGTCAATCAGTGATCAAACTACGATCACTATAAATCACGAAGAGAGGAGCTGAAAGGTGGGTTCATACTAACTAGTGCGGTGCCCGTAGGAAGT